ACCGTAGCCGGCGAACACAGCCGCCTCTTATATGTCACGGATGTGACTACGAAAGTTCGCTACCTCGTCGACACTGGCGCAGAAGTTAGCGTTCTTCCAGCAAATCTCGACGACAGACTTCGCGAGTCTGTTTTAAGTTTACAGGCGGCAAACGGAAAACCAATCGCTACTTACGGTAAAAGGTACGTCTACCTTAACGTGGGTTTACGTAAACCCATACACTGGATTTTCGTGGTTGCAGATGTCTCTATGCCAATCATTGGTATTGACCTGTTACAACACCACAATCTACTCATCGACACACGCTCACGAAGGTTAATGGACGGAAACACTAAGTTGTCCGTTTGCGTAACTCCTTGTTCTGGTTGCAGGTTATCCCCAGTCACGATTAAGCACGCCATAGACCCCTTGTACCAAGCAGTACTCGACAAATACCCCGGGATATACCAATCGCAATCGAAATTACCTTGTGTAACCAGCAATGTTACACATCACATCTCGACTACAGGACCACCTGTATTTTCGAAAGCCCGAAGACTCGCTCCCGAAAAGCTTAGGTTAGCTAAAAACGAATTCAACCACATGATGGACCTAGGAATAATTCGACCATCGAATAGTCCATGGGCATCCCCATTGCATATGGTCCCTAAAAAGGACAGCAATGATTGGCGGCCAACTGGTGATTATCGGCGTCTGAATGCTAAAACCATTCCCGATCGTTACCCGCTGCCTCATATTCACGATTTGACAGCTACCTTGAAAGGTACAACTGTCTTTTCGAAAATCGACTTGGTTAAAGCTTATAACCAAATCCCGATGGCAACTGACGACATTCCTAAAACCGCCATCATCACTCCCTTCGGTCTTTACGAATTTCTACGAATGCCTTTTGGTTTAAGAAACGCGGCTCAAACCTTCCAAAGGTTTATAGACGACGTCTTCCGAGGTCTCAGCTTCGTACATGCGTATGTTGATGACTGTCTAATAGCAAGTCCGGACAGAGAATCGCATCTCAAGCATCTGGACATTGTTTTCGATCGACTTCAAAGGCATGGCATTACTGTCAACATTCAGAAATGCCAAATCGGAACTAACTGCTTAGATTTCTTAGGACACACCATTGATGCCCAAGGCATCCGACCCCTTAGGAGCAAAGTGGCGGCCATTCTGGATTACCCAGAACCGACCACGATCAAGCAGTTGCGAACTTTTAACGGACTCGTAAGTTTCTATAGACGGTTCATACCTAAATGCGCATCCCTAATGAAACCGTTGACCGATCAGCTTCGTGGAAATGCGAAATCAATTAGTTTAGACGACACAGCCCGTAAAGCATTTTCCACAGTTAAGGAACACATCGCTAAAGCAACCTTGCTTGCTCATCAGGACAGTCAAGCGCCCATTAGTATCGCCGTAGACGCATCCGACTCAGCAATCGGAGCAGTCTTACAACAACGGGTTAACAACTCGTGGCAACCTTTAGGATTTTTCTCGAAACGGTTGCTAGACGCGGAATCTAGGTACAGCACGTTCGGTAGGGAACTCCTAGCTATGTATTGTGCTGTACGGCATTTCCAACATTCCATCGAAGGAAGAGAATTCACGCTCTTTACCGATCACAAACCTCTTACCTTCTCATTAAATTCATCTTCAGACAAGTACTCACCGCGAGAGTCTCGACAACTCGACTACATTTCGCAGTTTACTTCAGACATACAACATATTTCTGGAGCAAACAATGTAGTCGCAGACGCCTTGTCTCGAATTAGCTCCTTGAACAGTTTCCAAGGAATCGACCTTCTTAAACTCGCTCAGCTTCAAAAAGAAGACATTGATCTTCAGCATGAGTTATCCTCGACAACTCTTAAACTAAGTATTAGGCAGATGGGAACAGGTAAGGAAACCTTACTCTGTGACACATCTACAGGTAGGGATCGTCCAATTGTACCAAAACACTATCGCCGCAACGTCTTCAATACGTTGCACAATCTTTCTCATCCAGGTGCTCGTGCAACAATCGAACTTATAGCCGAACGCTTTTGTTGGCCTGGCATGAATAAAGACGTGAGGGAGTGGTCACGCTCCTGTGTAAGCTGTCAGAAATCTAAGGTAATCAGACACAACAAATGTCCCTTAGGTTCTTTCAAAACCCCTGACGCTCGTTTCGACCACGTCCATCTAGATTTGGTAGGACCCTTACCCGACTCGAACGGATACTCATATCTCCTAACATGCGTAGACCGTTTTACTCGATGGCCAGAAGCAGTACCGATTAAGGACATTACTGCTGGAACAGTGGCTCGCACTTTCGTCGAACGATGGGTAGCAAATTTCGGCTGCCCTTCAACCATCACTACAGACCGCGGACGCCAGTTCGAATCTGGACTTTTCCGTTGTCTGACCACACTTTTAGGAATCACGCGCTTCCGAACGACCGCCTACCACCCACAAGCAAACGGGTTGGTAGAACGTTTTCATCGACAACTAAAAGCCTCATTATCAGCTTCAAACGTTTCACAGTGGACAGACGCTCTTCCACTCGTCTTGCTAGGTATCCGCAATGCAGTGAAAGCTGACATTGGATACACGGCATCTCAACTCGTTTACGGAACGACACTCCGACTCCCAGGAGAATTCGTGGATCCTTCAGCTTCTTCATTGAACATGGATCTAAACTCTTACACGAGTAGGCTTACAAACGCTATGCGTTCAGTTAAACCTGCTCACACTCGACCTCAATCAACTGATGTTTTCGTTCAACCCGAACTACGACATAGTACACACGTCTTCGTTCGTCGAGACTCACATCGACGACCCCTCGAATCAGCATACGAAGGACCCTTCAAAGTTCTTCAACGCGAACCTAAGTACTATGTAGTTGATAAGAACGGTACGAAAGATAGCATCAGTATCGATCGACTCAAAGCTGCATACCTAGAAGGAAACCCTAGCTACGTCGATTTTCCTTCGGTACAAGCAAACGACACAGCTACTACACTCGTAGTACCCTACACGACAACCGACACACAACTTGATACTTCGTCAACATCGATAGAAAAACCTAAAACAACGCGTTCTGGAAGACGAGTAAGATTTCCAGAACATCTTAACGAATATTGCACGTAGGACATAAGCTTTATCTGGAAATACCCTTTCAAAGTTTATTATAAATTTTTTTTTAATATGCTCATTTTTTATTTATGTAAAAAAAACAAAAAAAACATTTTTTTTGAACGTATATATATATATATTTATATATTAAAAAAAAACCCAAAAGAAAACCTTTTTTCCGATCGCTTTTACGCTGTTTGTAAGTGTATCAGTTTATTTTTTTCCGCTCATCTTGTGTCCTTACGCAAGTACGAGTGTATTTTTGACATGCACTCACACGTTTTATTTTTCCTCTTTTCCAGGACGGCTGGAAAAGAACGACGAAGTTTCGCAAGGAACAGAAATTTTCATTGTACTATATTTCTTTATTTGCTACGTTGTACATTTTGGTCCCATAGTTTAAGGAAAGACGACCAGACGCTGCTAAACGAAGCAAGCTATCAGAAGAGTGTTTACCAACGACAAATTCGTTGGGTTTAAACTTCTGGCTGGTCACGTCTTAGGGGCATCACTACCTCACTAGGGGGGGAGTGATCTGTAGCTGTAAATAATTCCCCAAAATCAATAGCTCATTAAGTGTTCGACATTGGATGCTGACCACGTTGTTTAAGTGGACTTGTTTAGCTGAAGGCTTTCGGTCATGCATCCGCACCAGATCACGTTTCAATACTGCGTGGGACACAGCTCCTACGTTTCATTAGCCAGCTCATAGAAAAGGTCCTCGATATATTGGTAACGAATCAAATATATCTTTCCTGCCTCTTCTCGTTTGACTTCTGATTTTCTATCTGACTGGTAACAACCGAATTTAGAAGGTGCTACTGGTATCTAGTTGTAAAACTAGAATATCCGTTGCATCATCAATATCTTAACTTAAATATGCAAATCAATCGTCAGGTTAGAATCCTTGTGGGATTAGTTTATGAATTGTTTTTATAGCGATCTCCTTGATATATGTTAGAATAAAAATTAACTAGTAGCTGTGTACCAACGACGTTAATTAAGGGGTTTTGTATAATTTGTTTTTCAGTATCGCGGTTCAATGATTCATTTGTATTTAGTACTAGATATTCCCAACCACATGCATCATAACACCAGATTCTGTCTGTGGGAGAATTTTTAGGAATACTGGATTTTCAGTCACATGAAATATCCAATGTGATATATCATGTTCTCAGTATGATAGGTGTACTGCAGTATCCAGCTGTTCTTTTGAATAAGCCCTGTGCAAAAAATTTCGATACTGTATTTCAACATCGTTATTACTCATTGTTTTACAACATAATGATCATTCTTAGTTAAGAAATAACTTTGAAGACCTGACGGATTGATATTTACCTACAAGTTGGAGTGCCTCTAGTTGGTAGTAAGTAGTATGCATCGGTTCATTCCAATACGATTGCACGAATAAAAGATGTTATATTATCGTGAATTACTAGTCAGAATATACTGGGACAAGATCCTGATTAGTTCCTATGGTCAGGTAGAAATAAAGCAACGTGTAGAAAACAATGACTTTGACCCAACTTCCAATTCAGTTTACTTTTATGGAAACCAGTTTAGTCCGGAATCTAATTCTGATAATGATTTAATCAAATAAACTTACATGTTCACTGACTTCTTTAAGCTACTCCCATTAGCTAAAACAATGTCTGTCTAAAGTGAAGCAGTTATCTCTCCCTTATTATCCTTATGGTAATAATAAGGAACTATAAACTTCATGACCACAGTTTTAAACTATACTATATAAATGCACGTAATGCTGCATGGTTATCTAAACCAAAGTAAGTAAGATGAGGCAGTTCAATCACTATTCTTGAAGTATTTTAACCAATGATCGTTTAACACTCCATCAGGTATCGAAATACCAATACAAGCATTGTAAAGAAGCTAGTACAATAGAATTTACAACAGAATTTACACACTCTAATACTGAGTATCGATTTTAATGATCTAGAGTGTGAATAAAACAAACTACAGGTATATAAGATTTATATCTTATCAAAAATAGTCTATTCATACAACTGTTGACAAGGTTGTTGACTGAAGTTAATACTGTACAAAGTCCTCTTAATTAGTTCTCAGCAATAGTTTGTGGTTGAGATTGTCCATAACATTAACATAATGTTATGGATTATACAAACCACAATATTTCCGATGAGATTCATGATGAAAATATATGTAAAAGGATTAACTATTAATAGTATCACCAGTAGCCGGTACTTCGGCTAAACTCGTGCTACAGTGATCGTTTGCAGATACAGATAAATTTGAGCAATTAACAGTAGAAACTTCATTTGGTATAGTCAATCTCCATAATCCAAAGTCACTTCCAACAACAGTTTGCCACAAACGAACAGTACCATCTTCACTACCGCTTGCAAAGACGAGTCCATCAGGAGAAAATCTAACACAATGTAGAGGGCCAAAATGTCCCTTGCAGGTTTCTAAGATAAAGAAATAAAAGATAAACTAGATAAACGTTAAAGCTGGATCGTAAAGTATACGATTTAGAAAATGGAATGATTTATTTGACTCGATTACATACTGAAGAAAGTTGCGCAAACTATAAAATCCCTTTTCTTATGACTCAAAATTGTTATATAATATGACTAAACTTTTTTGGAAAATGACTCTGAATTTTAAAGGGAAAATAACAGCCATACGGCTTTCAAACCTAAACTTGTCTTTCATGGACGGACCAAACAAATCTTTTAGCTATATTTGGATTAGTTGAGGCTGGGCGGAAAGAATAGGAACTCATTTTTGTTCATTGTTTATGGTATTTAAAGTTGTAAATACTCAATTCACTAGATCAAAACACTGTACCGTAAAATACTCAAAAGTAATTTAATGTAGTAAAGCATCCTAGAGTATTACCTAATATTTCACCAGTTTCCGAATTTAATCGATATATTACGTGATCATCTCCACCACACACAAGTAATTTTTCAGTGGGATGCAAGCTGACAGAATTTACTGGACACGATAGATTGAATTTTGGAAAAGCTTCAGGTGCCTCTACCAAGTTACTATAACGCCAGTCAAACGTATAAGTCTGGATCGAATTCCCACATGCTACCACAGCCTTCACTTGATCGTCATTATAAGGGATATGGAATTGAATATCGTTGACTGGGTCTGATAATTCCTTGGACCATATCTGATGAGCTGCAGCTGGCTTCAGAATATCTCGGAGATCCCACAGGCTAAATGCATGAAAATATGTCGGACCGTTAATATTCTGCACAGAATAATGTGATAATAACATCAACACACAAGGAATAATGGAAATGACTACGAAGTAGAGATCAAATTTCTATCATGACTGGTGATATTCGAAGTTCGTAGACTGATAATTACAGAGTATTGATTCAAATGAAAGCATGTAAGTGCACTACTTATTTGCTGAAGGATTTGCATGACGCCATGGGGATTTCTTGCGGCTTTGCCAAACGCCCCGCTTATAAGCACTAAATTAAAATAAGCTCCTTACAACTCGTCGAGGCACGTCAGTCTACTACTACTAACCGCGAAATAGATGTATGTAATAAAATCGTGTGGAATTTACGTAAGGACATAAAAGCCTGATGGTTGGAGCGTGTAGTTTGCTGTATGATGTGGTAGCCCAAATATACAAACTTTTCTGTTTGATTTTACATTACATAAATCATCTGCATACCTGTATCGATGTTCTATTCTAATAAAGTCATTACATAATGAATGATATAAGTGAATAGCAATGTTGGTCAGATTGCTGTAGGCCGGGATATCAGACCTTGTGATTCATTGTCATTCGATGTGCTTTAGGAAATTTACTGGACACAAACAGCCCATAGTAGATAATTGCAAATCGCTAATAAAATATGGTAATTCTTCATAAATGACTTGTGAATTTTTAGCCAGTTAAAACAGAATTGTCAATAATGGGTTTTAAAAATTTGAAAAGGCCTTAAACGGAGTTGTCTTTACCAGTTTCTAAAGAAATTTTAGATGCTTTACTTAAAGATTTGATAGTCGCGTTTGCTAAGTGCAGTGAAGGTATGTAAATTCAGCCTATAAAACTTCAGATGCAGTATGATCCAATCTTTCTTAAAAGACGAATAATTCCTTATGTTCTTCGAGAAACGGTGAACGAGATATTGGACGATTTGTGTTTGAAACATACGATCAAGCCGATTCAGTCTTCAGCATGCGGTACTACTATTGTTACGCCATTGAAGACCCTTAGAATATGTAGCGACTATAGATTCCCAATGAACTCCCGCTTGTTGAAGCAAACATGGACGACGGATTCAATGGAACTGGCATTCCTGAAGTTGTTCCACCCATCTGTTCCTCTGTTCTCGAATCTCTATAATCGTCTTGCCTACTTTCTCTCTGGTTTACCATATTTGCCTTCCGATTCCTTCTATGTGTCACGTAGTTGCTTCATATTTTCTTCTCTTGAAGCTTCCACTGTCGTTGCCAGCTCTTCCACGTATTTCTACTTGTCGGCTTTAATGCTCTTTTTCACTTGAGCGTTAGCTTCTGTGTACTCTGCTTGTGTCTTGACCTTCTCTGGTCGTGTTTGACTGTTGTTAATTACAGTCTACCTGTTCCCATAGTGATCCATTTCATATGATGATGCTTTTTGTGGCTTGCACCTCCCAGTACGCTATAGTTAATCACGTCGGGCTCACCAGTGTGGAACATCAACGTTGATGTTCTATGTTGAAATGATTGGGGGCCTACTAGAGTTAGACGAGAATGGTGACGAACCAACTAGCGCTGAAGTCACACCTCGCGACGGCACCCTACGTGGAATCCCCCATAGACGTATCAAGGGACATGGATGCTATGGAGACTGTACAACACAAAGGACGTTATTACAAGAATATATTAGTTAAGGTACAACCACGAAATTGCAAAAGTGAAAGAACAACCACTGCCGCATGAGTCAGTCCATGGCATATTATTGATTGATGCGCGTTGACTATCCTTGACCTTGACAGGGATCGATGATCTGTTCGATATTCAGTGACATTTCACCGACCCCACGGTCCTTTGTTCCCTTTCCAGTTTCCCTCCATCGTAGTTTCTTTTATCAGTAGATCTTGCAAGGATTGGAACCTGTTATCGAGAGTTATTATGAATTGGTTGAGTTTGTTAGTATCTCCAAGGAAGGCTGTATTGAGCCTTAGTACTACTGTTTAGTGTTTATTTACCTTCAGTGTCATCTTGACCGTGACTAGGTGGTGATCTGAGGCTATGTCAGCTCCTCTCCTGGTTCTCACATCTTCCATTGTCCTTCGGAATTTTTTTAGTGATAAAAACATGATCTATTTGGTTCTCTGTGGTGTGGTCCGGTGAGAACCATGTAGCTTTGTGCATGCGTTTGTGTGAAAATATTTTGCCGCCTATAACCAATTTGTTGAATGCACATAGATTTACAAATCTCTCCCCATTTTCATTTCTCTCTCCTAGTTCATGTCGTCCCATGATGTCTTCATATCCGGTGTTGTCCACTCCCATTTTAGCGTTTAGATCTCCCATCAGGATGATGAGGTCCCTTCTTGGGCACTTCACTATGATTGATTGCAGCCTCGAGTAGAACTGACCTTTATTGTCATCGTTGCTATCATTGGTGGGTGCATAACATTGGACATCATTCATTGTGATCCTCTCCTTCTTGTTTTTAATGATGCTTTGATAATTCTGGATCCGTGAGGTTCCCATCCTACAAGTGCATTTCATGATTCTCTGGACAACATTAGAGCAACTCTCTGAGTGTGTGCAGCATTTTCCTCTTCATGACTGGAGTACAGCAGCATCTCTCCCGTACCTAGCCTTTGTTGTCCAGCTTGGGTTAAATGGGTTTCGCTGATTCCAAGTACTGCCAATTTGTATCTCCTCATTTCCGTTGCTATTTGACTGGTCTTCCCGGTCTCCCACATTGTCCGGACATTCCATGCACCTGTAGTGACCTACATTTGAGATGAGCACGCGATTGGTATCCTGAAAAAGATTACTCTTATAACCAATTGTACCAGTGATTGTTTAAGCGTACACGTTTGTTTAAGTGTACCAAAGACACATATTCTTCCGTCGCCTGTGACCTTGTAAGAACTCGCTTACGCTCGGCAGTTCTGATTGTAAACTTTGACATGATCTCGGTATTCTTTCGATACCACAAAATCATTAACAAGTATATCTTATTTCAACCGTTAACAGCCTTCTAACTTTTGGCCTACAGAGGGCTCCAACTCCATATCCTGTAGCGGTGATCGTAGTCAATCGCAACTCTATGCCAACTATATACCTATAGAAATTGTTGCTGTGGTTAGAAAGGGCATTACCCTCGTGACTTCCGAAAAATCTTGACTTTCATATTGAGGCGTCATAATTCTTCCTTCACGTCTGAGGGCAAAGTTTAAATGGCTTTATTTGCTTAATCTGGATGGTGGTTTTTAGCAAGATTTCTTTCTATAGGATAGAATTGCAGACCCCATGCCCAACCCTCCTCCTTTGTGTGGGCTTGGGACTAGCAGCAATTCTACAGGGACCCCGAATGGAGTTGAAAACTCAACATTCTAGGTGGACTTCATTGCCAGTATTGTTTGAGACCTGGCAGTGAATGCATGCAGACTATTTTGGTCCATTCGCCGGCAAACACAATGCGCTTAAAGTCATTGGTCCTTCATCGAATTGGCTTGAAGTTTATTCAAAACTTCACAAAATTCTGACTCCACAATCTAAGCATGAAGATTTTTTGACGAGAAGGGGGTTCCCATGGTGTTCGTGACTGATGATGGCTTTTTCTGCTGCGGATGCAGTCACTACCTGGTTCAGTGGTATACGGTGCGGATCTCTGTTCACTGCTTCCAGGCACTCGTGTCCTAATGTTTAGGCAGAAATGTTTTCAGGCTGTTGAAAAAATGCTGATGATTCAATTGCTACTTCAACATTTGATGAAATGGAAAGGGGAGTAGATTCATTTCTACTGTGATTTAGAAATCCTAAATATCCTGTAACCAAACAGACTCCGTTGAAGTTATTGAAATGAAGGATTCTGAGCTCGAATATGAGGTGTTGGGAGTCTGAAGTAGTAACAAATTATCATCCAAACTATCTTTGACCAGCCACGTTGATTTTGATGAGGAATGTCGGGAAATCTATGGTGCGAATTCCAAATATTGATGATTTCAGTACACACAACCGACTTGTTGATCAAATACAATTCCAGGAACCAGGTGAGTTAGTTCCAGTTTCAGTGCTAATGAGTATATTCTAGATAGTACAGAGTCTGTATCCAATGCGTAATCAGATAGACATGCAATAAACCTTATGAGAAGACGTTCAGTCGACTACAGAAACTTAGATTCCAATCTAAGCTGTAGTTACAGTGTTTCTATGGACTAATTTTTCGCTTGTACTCGATGTCTGTCTGATTTCTAATTCCAAATACAATACGTTCGTTTGTGCTCACCTAGTTCTGCTTCGTCTAAGTTGAGATATTTCGTGGACTCCAAGTTTATATAATAATTCAAATACCTCTAAATATCGCATCTATCTTTGTTGCTCAAGGATGATATACAAAACCAAATACAAGATATTTTAAGAGAACGCGTTTTACATAGTTATGTGTGAGTAGACAAACAGTAATAGTAATTATACGTCGAGGTTGGCCTTACCAAACTCGATCGTTTCAAGCCTTATTCAGATTGTATTCAAAGAGAGTGATATGTAGAATGCAGAGAACCAACAGGATTGTAACCAAGGTTGGACAACGAACAAGTATGTGCATATAGAAATATACCGACCTAGTTGAGTGTTTGAGTTAATGTGAAGTGATTGAATCAACTTAAATGTGTTTATTTTAAAAGAATTTTATTTGTTCGTAGCAAAATGGTTTTGTATGTATGGGAAGATACAATCTACTTTTCAGAGGACTGTTGGACTTCTCAACGAATAGGGATTTTATCAGGTTTTTTTGGAGATTGTAGTGATTTAATAGCTATATTCATGAGCCAATGTAAGCTAGATCAACATGGAAAACGGAGAAGTACTGGACGGCCATTTCGTCCTTGTATGGGATTGCTCATCAGTGCGCATCCACGATCCCGCATGAGGGACTCAAATACAGGACCTTCGGTCTCGTACGCGATCACTTAGCCCCTAGACCACTGAAGCAGTTACTCACTGAAGACAATGGTGAACAGTCGCGCAATATCGTGAATTGGTTGAAGTTAGACATTAACACCGTTGGATGCCAGCCGAGTGGTCTAGAGGTCAAGTGTTCGCTCGCGAGACTAAAGGACGTGGGTTTGAATCTCGGTATGGGATCATGGATCTTCACTGATGAGAATTCCCATACTTGTACGGAATGGCCGTCCATTGCTTCCCGGTTTTTCATGTTGGCCCAGCCCTAATTTACTCATTGACTCAACTATTGAGTAGGGATTCGCTTAAAAAACAGATAATTATTTACATATTAAGTTCATGTTAACTACCTTCACAGTATTCAATGAATAGAACCCATTGACCTGAATCATGGTCACATTGAATGCATTTCACCTATCATGCTAAAACTGGAACGGGTTTATTACAACATCCGGCTGGGATCGTTTCCACTTACCTTGCAGACGTCACGGATAGTCAGGGCTTGACAACGCTGTCATTTGTAACATCTGTAAGGTCGGAGGATCCAAAATCTAGTAAGGCCAAAAGTCAGAGATACAAAAGTTCAAAAATATATTTGGAAGGTAGTCAGTATGTCAAGAAGTGTTCTGTCCAAGCTAGCTAGTCGTTGCCAGGGTCGCGTGGCATGACATACTATATGATAATCTAATGAGGATTCATAACCAAATTCCTTAAACAGACGTGCGTCCAGTAAAGTTATTGAGGTCAAGAAGAATGTCTAGGACTGACAGGACTATTTACTTTTGGGATTTATTTGCCGCTACAACCTTAAAGAGTCCTTGTAGGTATCGCCGGTTTGTTGTTGATGCACATGAAAGGCCCATTTATTTAAAGCTCTTATTTCGTTCATAGTCATTCGAAACTATCTCGTCTCATCGATTTCGCCAACATGTTACACTTATTTGTTCTACTGGTAGTTTTAAACTATAAACAAGGATCCTCAAGGCCAACCTAGCTGGGTCGATAATCTTGTCCGGCGTGTTATGATCCAGACTCCAAAGCAGTCACCTGTGTACTGTCCTGGGCATACCAGGCCAGTCGTTGACATCTGTTATAGTGGAGAGACAGATTGTGGTCACCTTTTCATCACCGCTTCAAAAGGTACGTATATTAAACGCGACTGAATGTTCATGCAAATCCTTATTTTATTGCTCAAATAATCTAAACTTGTTATAGGGATAAATGTTAATAGTTCGCAATTTAATATTGTTAGTTAGAAAATATGATAATTAGAACGTACATGTGTCGAGTCCATTGGTCATTTCCAGGTGGGAATCCATTAATCTAAAATGGTGAGACCCAATCTTTATATTATGGGGGAATTTTGGGGTTTTTGTGCCATTTCTCTGAAGTTTTCTATAGCGGCTTCCACTTAATTTGCCCACACTGCGAAATCTCCCCCAAAATAGGGAAATTAAGGACTATCATCTATAGACGACCTTTGGGCGACTTTAAAGTGATCCTACGGAAGTTCATCTACTTGGCACAAAAAAGGACCATAAATTAGTGCAAGGAGTTAGAATTAGGACTTGGGGTTGGAAGTTAGGACTATAAATTAGATTTAGAGTTTTCACCACAAACTGACATCAGTCATTATGCTTAAATGCTATTTAGACTTTGTCATGAATAAGTTTCGAGCCTAAGTCCTAGACTAACACCAATTTCATTGGTTCGTTCATAAACTAGTCTCACCGCTAAGCCATTTACCAATAACTCGTGAAATGATGTGTTGTTAAGACCTTTAGATTGTTTTAACAGCTGTGTATTTAAATCAATTTAACAAATTTAAATCGTTATGGTTTTTAGCGTGGTAATCTGTTTACATATTTCAACCTGTTTTTTTTACATTACTCAAATAGTTCAGACATATTTAGGTGAAATTTTATCTTCAACGTATTACAAAACTCCAAAATATTGCTTGTTGAGTGTTGTAATAGTAGTCCGAGACACTAAGGTGGCTCATTTTTAATGATATATTCAGTACGCTCACACATCACTACATACCTTGAACCCAGAATCTCCTGACGTTCCTTTGAACTTTTGAACTTGGCTATTAATCCATTGACTCACAATTACCTCACCTCCATAGATGAATTTCAGTTTCATTAGATTCGGTTGTTGTGCTTGTTTATCAGTCCATTCTTTGGAGAACTCGGCGTTGGTTTTACTGGCCTCAGAGTTCGGGATTAGTCGTAGTGTGGTCATTTTAGTTCCTTTATAATGCGAGGAAGTAGAATAACTGTAGACACTGGTTATCTGTATTAGGGGGTTTATTACCACCACTTCATTATAATTATTATTAGGTCCTCACTAACTTCGGCCGGGCTGGAATCATTCATTTTCTATAGTTCCTAAGGTTCTTTAAATCCTGCGTTCTGCGCTTTCCTAATTTGTCAAGTGTCTGATTCGGCTTATAGTTTTTGCTAGTAATTAGAATCAGCATATAATCACTTTCCTAGAAAAGACAAATCAATGGACAATAAGGCAGAGGAACAAAACAATAGGGAACTAGCAATTATAGAACTATTTCCAGATTGAAGAGGGAATACACTATCTTTTGCCCCATTTATCTATTTTAAGCTATCTGTAGTCTCATTGTTTGATATGTTGTAACCTGAAAGGTTCCAGTCTCCGGTTAAGTTCAGATCATACGTCCATGGTGAACCTCAGAGCTTGAAACCGTCTTGCTTCAGAGGATGGGTTATGGGGAGGTTTATCGACAAGTAACCTTAGCGCAGTTGCCATGTCCAATAAATGTTAGTCTAGATAATTTTCATTTTTTGTCTATATACCATCAGTATCTATCCTACTTTGTTTTGTTTTTTAGACTACAAATTACGACTTAATTTCGTTTGTTCTTTTATTTTAGATGGTAAAGCAATTCTACGCCAAGGTGATACAGGAGATTGGATTGGAACATTTTTAGGTCATAAAGGAGCTGTTTGGTCATGTGTCCTAGATAAACATGCTACTAAGGCCGCTACAGGGGCGGCGGATTTCACTGCCAAAGTGTGGGATGCAAACTCCGGTTCAGAGCTCCTTTCAGTCACTCAAGATCATATTGTTCGGTGCGTTGACTTGAGCAAAACTGACTCAGGCGCAAAGTTACTCACTGCTAATAACTGGAAAAAGATTTCTGTCTATGATCTAAACTCTCCTGAATCACGTAAATTATTCCACTTTTATGTTTGAGATTCTGTTCATCTGGTATTGCATAAATTATTTTTATGATCTCATTTACACCACTCACGTTTTTTATTTGCCTCATTTAGCCATATCTGTATTCGAGGGACATAAACAAATAATTCGTCGATTGCTATGGTGTGGTGAAGACAAACTTGCTCTATCCATATCGGAGGATAAAACTATCCGGTTAGTGCATCAATTTATTTTCTGTTAAATATGTTGTATGTACTTGGATTTCAAGTTAATTTAGATGTAACTGGTGAACAATATGCACCTAATTATGTTCAATTTATGCTCAAAAACACGTCCTAGATACAAGTAATATAATAGGCAATCAATATTTGCATTTACTATTCACTTATGTCATTCATTATGTAATGACTTTATTAGAATAGAACATCGATACAGGTATGCAGATGATTTATGTAATGTAAAATCAAACAAAAAAGTTTGTATATTTGGGCTACCACATCATACAGCAAACTACACGCTCCAACCATCAGGCTTTTATGTCCTTACGTAAATTCCACACGATTTTATTACATACATCTATTTCGCGGTTAGTAGTAGTAGACTGACGTGCCTCGACGAGTTGTAAGGAGCTTATTTTAATTTAGTGCTTATAAGCGGGGCGTTTGGCAAAGCCGCAAGAAATCCCCATGGCGTCATGCAAATCCTTCAGCAAATAAGTAGTGCACTTACATGCTTTCATTTGAATCAATACTCTGTAATTATCAGTCTACGAACTTCGAATATCACCAGTCATGATAGAAATTTGATCTCTACTTCGTAGTCATTTCCATTATTCCTTGTGTGTTGATGTTATTATCACATTATTCTGTGCAGAATATTAACGGTCCGACATATTTTCATGCATTTAGCCTGTGGGATCTCCGAGATATTCTGAAGCCAGCTGCAGCTCATCAGATATGGTCCAAGGAATTATCAGACCCAGTCAACGATATTCAATTCCATATCCCTTATAATGACGATCAAGTGAAGGCTGTGGTAGCATGTGGGAATTCGATCCAGACTTATACGTTTGACTGGCGTTATAGTAACTTGGTAGAGGCACCTGAAGCTTTTCCAAAATTCAATCTATCGTGTCCAGTAAATTCTGTCAGCTTGCATCCCACTGAAAAATTACTTGTGTGTGGTGGAGATGATCACGTAATATATCGATTAAATTCGGAAACTGGTGAAATATTAGGTAATACTCTAGGATGCTTTACTACATTAAATTACTTTTGAGTATTTTACGGTACAGTGTTTTGATCTAGTGAATTGAGTATTTACAACTTTAAATACCATAAACAATGAACAAAAATGAGTTCCTATTCTTTCCGCCCAGCCTCAACTAATCCAAATATAGCTAAAAGATTTGTTTGGTCCGTCCATGAAAGACAAGTTTAGGTTTGAAAGCCGTATGGCTGTTATTTTCCCTTTAAAATTCAGAGTCATTTTCCAAAAAAGTTTAGTCATATTATATAACAATTTTGAGTCATAAGAAAAGGGATTTTATAGTTTGCGCAACTTTCTTCAGTATGTAATCGAGTCAAATAAATCATTCCATTTTCTAAATCGTATACTTTACGATCCAGCTTTAACGTTTATCTAGTTTATCTTTTATTTCTTTATCTTAGAAACCTGCAAGGGACATTTTGGCCCTCTACATTGTGTTAGATTTTCTCCTGATGGACTCGTCTTTGCAAGCGGTAGTGAAGATGGTACTGTTCGTTTGTGGCAAACTGTTGTTGGAAGTGACTTTGGATTATGGAGATTGACTATACCAAATGAAGTTTCTACTGTTAATTGCTCAAATTTATCTGTATCTGCAAACGATCACTGTAGCACGAGTTTAGCCGAAGTACCGGCTACTGGTGATACTATTAATAGTTAATCCTTTTACATATATTTTCATCATGAATCTCATCGGAAATATTGTGGTTTGTATAATCCATAACATTATGTTAATGTTATGGACAATCTCAACCACAAACTATTGCTGAGAACTAATTAAGAGGACTTTGTACAGTATTAACTTCAGTCAACAACCTTGTCAACAGTTGTATGAATAGACTATTTTTGATAAGATATAAATCTTATATACCTGTAGTTTGTTTTATTCACACTCTAGATCATTAAAATCGATACTCAGTATTAGAGTGTGTAAATTCTGTTGTAAATTTTATTGTACTAGCTTCTTTACAATGCTTGTATTGATATTTCGATACCTGATGGAGTGTTAAACGATCATTGGTTAAAATACTTCAAGAATAGTGATTGAACTGCCTCATCTTACTTACTTTGGTTTAGATAACCATGCAGCATTACGTGCATTTATATAGTATAGTTTAAAACTGTGGTCATGAAGTTTATAGTTCGTTATTATTACCATAAGGATAATAAGGGAGAGATAACTGCTTCACTTTAGACAGACATTGTTTTAGCTAATGGGAGTAGCTTAAAGAAGTCAGTGAACATGTAAGTTTATTTGATTAAATCATTATCAGAATTAGATTCCGGACTAAACTGGTTTCCATAAAAGTAAACTGAATTGGAAGTTGGGTCAAAGTCATTGTTTTCTACACGTTGCTTTATTTCTACCTGACCATAGGAACTAATCAGGATCTTGTCCCAGTATATTCTGACTAGTAATTCACGATAATATAACATCTTTTATTCGTGCAATCGTATTGGAATGAACCGATGCATACTACTTACTACCAACTAGAGGCACTCCAACTTGTAGGTAAATATCAATCCGTCAGGTCTTCAAAGTTATTTCTTAACTAAGAATGATCATTATGTTGTAAAACAATGAGTAATAACGATGTTGAAATACAGTATCGAAATTTTTTGCACAGGGCTTATTCAAAAGAACAGCTGGATACTGCAGTACACCTATCATACTGAGAACATGATATATCACATTGGATATTTCATGTGACTGAAAATCCAGTATTCCTAAAAATTCTCCCACAGACAGAATCTGGTGTTATGATGCATGTGGTTGGGAATATCTAGTACTAAATACAAATGAATCATTGAACCGCGATACTGAAAAACAAATTATACAAAACCCCTTAATTAACGTCGTTGGTACACAGCTACTAGTTAATTTTTATTCTAACATATATCAAGGAGATCGCTATAAAAACAATTCATAAACTAATCCCACAAGGATTCTAACCTGACGATTGATTTGCATATTTAAGTTAAGATATCCTCAATACTGTACTATTTACAGAAAAGGTACGAAAAACCCACAAGTTTCGAATCGTAATAGACTCGGTTACCGTTTTTCTTTCAAAAGGAAAATTATTCCTCTAGATAATTCTATGCGTATGAAATTAGAACATAAATATAAACTAGAAAACTACACCCGTAGCCATTAATGAATATCAGTAGTTAATGGAATCCAATGAATACCCAACACCCGAGAGTAAGCGATTCATTGAAGGTAAACAAAGGCCCAGACTAGCGTGATCAAAAGGAGAAAATAAGATTGTAGCCTAACTCATGAATAAAATAAATCAGTTCTCGTAATATCTGTTGGTATTCGTCACAACTGCTACTGCAATAAAATACTTGGATACAATCATAGCTACTTATCATTATTAAGTAGTATGGCGAGTATACTAAAAGGGAAGATGGGGTTTGGAGCTAAAATCATGTAAATGTTAATGGATAAATTTAGCTTCTTTGCGCGACAACTTAGTGTCCACACAATCACAGCTACATAAAGAAACGAGATTTCTCTAACTCCTCCCACTGAATAAGAGCTAAATTCATGCTAATGCATAACCTATGGTTAGTTTCATCACACATGTATGGGTACTGATATCAAGAAGCATATGATTTCCAACCATACTGCACATTATTTCATCAGATCTATGATTTATCACCACTGGCTACGAATGTAAAACATTACAAAGCTTGAGTGAATAACAAATTCACGTCGAACGAGGTTTGCAAATCGTCACAACTGAAGCTAAAGAATCACTGGACACCTGAGCAAGCACCACCACACAAGTTTGTTGCAGACTTCCTTCGAGATGCTTCCAAGGTCAGAGAGTTCAACATAGCTCTCAGTATCAAGTCACAAGACCTAGAAAGTCTACTAGGAGAGAAACCACCATGGAGAACAATTAGCAAAAGACTAAAGAAGTGATGACTTTAACATACTCAGAAGTGATGGATCCCTAGAAGCACCAGAATATACAATGAATCTCTATTGACACATTGGGCAAGATCCAGGAAGGAAAAAGTAAGTAAACATCAATAAAAAAACAGTCGAATGAATGCAGAGGATGTCAAGCTCAGATCAAATATACGGAAGCAAACAAATGGTTGGCGAGGAATATCGGAACCGACAAGCAGAAATACATAGAAGATCTAACAGTTTCAGTAGAACAAGCTGTGTGAGAAGGAAATATGAAAGAAATATTCGATACAGTGGAGAGGCTTGGAGGGAAATACAGCGAACCAGAACAGTCAGTCGGGAACAAAGAAGGAAATCCAATCACTGAGGGTCAACAGCAGCGAGACAGGTGGGTGGAGTTCTTTGAAGATCTTTCGAATTGATTGGCATTGCTGAGCACAGCTAACATTGAGGCAGCACACAAAGATCTCCCTGTAGATGGTACCTCATCAACAATCAAAGGAATTAGCAAAGCCATTAGACAATTCAGGAATGCCATAACAACAGTCGGACTCGACAGCATACCAGCTGAGGCACTTCAATCAGATATGGAGGCAACTGCAAGCATGCTCCACATTCTTTCCAGAAATATTTGGGATGAAGAACAAGTACTAACAGACCGAAGAGGGATAATTCATGGACGTACCGAAGAAAAGAAACCTTAGTAAGTGCGGAATCTACTGAGGGAATACGGTGCTGCCGGTGGCGAGTAAATTTTTCAACAAATTGTTGGTAAACCGAAAGAACGCTCCAGTAGACATTCAACTTCGAGATCAACAAACTGGTTGACCTAAGGATAGATCACGTACAGACCGAATCGCGACACTACGGGTTATTATTGGACAAATAGCTGAATGGAACTCATCGATTCACATCAGTTTCCCTGACTATGCGAAACTCCTCTACAGGATGCATAGGAAAACCCTCTGGAATCTACCTTGGCAACATAAAGTACGTGGGAAGATCGTCACCATCATACAGAACTCCTACAATGGACTGGACTGTGACATCGTGCATAGAGGGTAGCTCACAGGTGCATTCCAAGTGAGGACTGGTGTCAGACAAGGCTACCTGTCCTCGCTTTGCTGGTCGTTCACTGGATTATGAAAGTGTCGACAGTTTATGAGTAGTGAGGGAACAGTAAACACTCTGGACACAGCTGGATGCCTTGGACTCTCTGCATATAACTTAGTCCCGTTATCTCATATATAGTAAAAAATACAGGTGAATACTGTCAGTGTAGCAATGGCCTCTGCAGAAGTCAGTCTCAACGTCCATGAAGGCAAAGTCAAGTTACTGAAGTGCAACACATCGAGCATAAACCAAATTACACTTGATAGCCATGCTCTGGACGAGGTGGAAGCCTTCACGTACATGGACAACGTCGTAGATAAACATAGATGATACGACGAATATATGAAGGCACGAATTGACAAAACAAATACATCATTCCTACAACTAAAGAACATTCAGAGCTCAAAACAACTCACCCAAGACTTAAGTCAGAAGTTACAACATTAACGTCAAGGAAGTTCTATTTTAGGGAGACTGAAACTTAAAGAACTACCACCACCACCATCAAAATAGTACAGATATTTATAAACGGTCAATCGAGAAGCGAATTGGGAAAAGACATTGAATGTGTATTGTGACATGCGTTTTGCAAACCACCACACTGTATCACAAGAAAAGTTCTAACTTTGAATCCCCCAGGCTAAAGGAAACGTGACAGACTAAAGAATTTATGGCTCTTGAAATTCGGGGTCAGACATCAACATCACGAACATTAGTTGGAAACAACTAGAAAGGAAAACTCAGGACAGAGTTGATTGGAGATCACTGGTTGGTGGTTTATGCCATCTGAGGAGTAGTAGGCTTTAATATCCGAGCAATTTACGCGAATAATTCACTTCATGTTGTCTTTCGCTGAACATATTTTACAATATACAGAAGGAGTTTTGGATGAGATGTTGTGAAATAATACTACAATATGTTTCACTGCTATGAAAGTTAAACTTCGTAGCAGCTATATCCTAGTAGACAGATGTTCTAAATATTTATCTACTATTGTTTTTTTTCAGTGGAGTACTGAATGAAAATCAAGTTATGCTAAACAGTGACGTCTCCAAAACCAGAACTCTCGAGCAACAAACAGCAGTGACATATTATCTTCAGCACCATTTAGTAAACATGCATCCAATTCACTCAGCAAATGCCAAATGAGCTATTAACAATGTAGTAAGTTATATTCATGTCGTTCCCATTGGTTATACCATTTTATCTCACCACTCTCAATCTTAATTTTTCAACATTGAATCTAAAATTTATCAGGTTGATGTTACTCTGTTTTCCTATTTTAATCTTCATTATTCCTTAGTATATGAGAAAAGTGATAAATGTCTTCATTAGAATTTCGCCACAAAATCCTAATTTTCAGATAAACTATAGTTATCATATTAGAATGAAGACGAATTTCCACTTCCTTTTAACAGAAATCGGATTTCATTTGTTTGAATTCAAGAATGATATAGTATAATAAAGAGTTAATTTTGCTATTTTAATTGAAAGCCTGTTCATAGATGAGTTAAAAATAGATCATAGACATAATGCCCATAATAATGAGATAAGTTGCATATAGATATAATTAATATCTTCCAAGTTGGTTTATATATATATATATATATATATATATATATATATATATATATAAATGATCAGAGGGGGTTTTGTGGAGGATTTTAGTATTTTCATAGTTGATATCTAACTATGAAAATATTAAAATTCTCCACAAAACCCCCTCTGATCCATAATCATATGCTTACTAGTCACTGACTTCCAGAGATATTTCCTTCAGTTCTAGTGGGAAGCAGTGATCAGTGGAGTGTTACCAAGTCTGTTGTAGAGATATCAACTCACTGAAGAAAATTGGTGAACGGTTGCTCAAAATCGTGGATTAGTTGAAGTTAGACATTAACACCGTTGGATGCCGGATTAGTGGTTTATCGGTTAAGGGCTCTGGCTCGAAACTGGTAGGTTCTGGGTTCGAATCTTGTGGGTGCGGGGTCGTGGATGTGCGCTGCTGAAGAGTCCCATAATAGGGCGAACCGGCCGTCCAGTGCTCCCAGGTTTTCCATGGTGGTCTAGCTTCAATTGATTCATGATTTGAACTAAGAAGATATATAAATGACTTTCAATATTGCAGGGAGAAATTATCCGACAAGTTCACGCACGTTTAAAAATGATCGTAATTCAAAATGACAAATTGTCAAGCATATTGTTTTTAAAAATTGTACTTATTCAAATTTATTCATAACCCAACAATATAAACTGTAACAAATAATTTTATAATTGTCAGTGAAGATAATTAATGCATAGAATCATCTTGAGACCTTATAAATATGATTTTAGATCATTTTAATTTTTAGATATTTACAGTATGTATTAATCATCATTACTTTTCTCTTTATCTTACTGAAGTTAAACTGAATACAGCTAAAATGTGTGTATTATGCTAGCTTGTTTCTTTCTTTATATAATACTTACTTCATGTTTATAAACATTGTAATACAACATCCTCAAACTGTGATGCATTAATACAGTTCAGTTTACAACAATATAATATATGATGCTCTTCTCAATAGATCCTATTGAACTGCAAATTTTCGTCAAGCATAGGTAAAAACATGGGGAAGTTAACAAATATATAAAACCATGTGTTGATGATGTTTGATAGACTTGGATTGAAAATTCACTGTTACATGTTACAAGTTCCTGTTAGTGAATAATAATAAGCTGCCTATTTCACAATGTACACTTCAATAAAATTTTGCGCTAAATATTTTATGACACTTTTGAAAACATTACCATACTCCTTAGATTTTCGTCTTTGTACAAACTAACTCTCTAAGGTAAACTATATTTATGAAGTTATCTCTTCAAACAATTGTTTATAAAAGATCAGAGAGTACTTTAATAGTATAAAGTGTAACTATCTGCTTCAATGAACCGGTATCCTTACCTTTTGTTATGAACATATACATTTTTTAACAATACGACTCAATGACATCACATTATTTACCTTGAGAACGTTAACTTCGAAGGTTCAGAAATTTGCCTGTACTTTATTTGTTAATTCTAGTATCAAAACAATATTTGCCAGAGGACTCATGATTTCTGGTCTGAGATATTTATACTAAGGGATCTGTATGTCATGATATTTTTATAAAATTCAGATAACACTTTTAAATGTGTGAGGATTTTTGGAGGAAATAGAATGGTTAGTGTTGTAGTCACATCTTGGTTTATCCATAGACGTTATTGTATCATGAACATTCTGTTTGTATTGATTCAATTAGTCGATTAAAGGTGAACATTGATATTGATTGATAAATTGTCAGAGTAGGAATTGATCTCAGGTAATCCTGAATGGTTAAACTAATAACATAATGATGTACACTCCCACATAATTTAAAGACTTAATTAAACCTTGTCAAATATAGTTCAATAGTGACTTACATCGTTGCAATTTACAATATTACTCTATAAAACACAAGAAAGAAAATTGGGACAAATACCAAAAAGGAAATAATAAGTGATAAAGAAATAGACTGCTATAGAGTAATTAATTTCATTAGGTTATTCAAGAAATAAAGATGATGAAGATATCTGCACTTCTGTCAGAAATGTTGAGATTCATTATCTTAAATATCAAACTATTGAATTTTGACGTGTTGTGAATATGATCTACAATGAAAAAACTTGCTTAAGTAACTCGAACTAACCGTCAGTATTTTTGTGATCGTAGTGACCGTCAGTATATTTATCAATTAAAATAATCTTTTTCTAACTAATCTAATGCTTTTTCTGTTTTTCTGCTACTCCAGTTGATATCCCTAGTCAAAGTAGATGAAGACTTGAGATAAGCCTCAATATCCCAGCTGATGTAGTTTCCAAAACTAAACAAATGATCCATTTCATCTACTTAGAATTATCATACAACGATTCATAAGTCCAGCTGTTTCCCGTTACACTGAGGCTTTAATGGTCACTTGGCACTGATGTTGGAAATTAACTGACCTTAAATTTGTCATATTTCCGATAACTCGTCAAGTAATATGGCGTGTTCAATATACTTAGCTACTTCATTGCTATATCAGTTATATATAAATGTATCTTATATCCGTCATGTACTGCATCATTTTTCATCACATCAAATAAACAGGCTGTAATGGACCTGATTTTACTGTAATGTTCAAGTCTTACTCCTATCCATCTTTGCTTACAATGCTTGCGAAATAAGGCTATATCGAGAAAATACGCACATTATGCACATATGCCAATAAGAGACTGACTAGTTACAGTCCTGAAAACATCAATGGGGAGATCCAAACAAACGATACTAAGTAAATTTCAACTTCACCCCACTGCACAAGCAAGTGGCTATCAGAACTCAGTGGCCGAGTGGGTAACGCGGTGGCGTTTGAAGCGAAAGGTACTGAGTTTGAGTCCCAGAGCGAACATCAACTCTGAGATGCAGGTACATCCAGCTGACGAGTCCCAAATAGGACGAAACCCGCGCCCTGGATTCCACTGCTAGCCACCATCCATCTTTGCTTTACTCCTATGCTATTTATACTGATAATTTAAATAAAAAACATTTAAGTATTCGAATAGTACGAAGAAACAAAAAGTTATGAACGGATATTAATTTTACTAATTAGACCTTTGTTTAGGAATCTTTTTTCATTCTCTGATATAATATTCGGTAGTGTTAGCAATGTAACTGACCCATAGTAAGGTTGAAGAATTAGTTAAGCATTTTATTGTTGAATTTTGGCTGTGGTTAGTATCTACATAATATCATAATTTTCACTAGATGCTACACTATAAGCTTCATAAATTTCTCTAATTAATGAAAGAAAATATGTTCATCATTCGTGTCAAACACAACATAGATGTTCAAAGGTAAGATGTTCAACAATCAATTTTGACAATTAAAATAACAAAATAAAAAGAGGATATAAAAAAAATCCATAAAGGTGTTTATTTATTTATTTATTTACTGAACGAAAAACATTTCAGCTTGGTTTAACCCCCTTTGGATTATTAAAAACAGAGAAATAATATAAATAATAATCAACCCCTTTTAAATGTATCGTGAATAATTTCAACAAGTGAAGTATACAAGAAGAAAATGATGAAAAAAACTGTTTATCAGTAATGAGAAAAACGAAAAATTTAAGCGAAAAAATTCGATAAAAATATTAAAATGAACATATTTTTATTATTATTACTATTACCATTATTATTATTATTATTATTATTATTATTATTATTATTATTATGGTTATTATTATTATTTCGTTATAAATGTAGTAAATGATTCGAGGTAAAAACATTATGCAAACTATCCGTCTTAGATATATGATCATTCGTATATGTATTACAGTTTATTGTCTGTAATTAGGTTTGTTTGAGTTGTTCATTGGATTTGCGTAATTTCTAGTTCATAGTGTTGAAACACAAGTAAGGTGAGTTTTTCACATTGAATTGTTGTTGTTTTGGTGACTATTTAGAAAAAGATCAGTGTATTTTGTGTGTATTACGTAATTTATTTTGAACTTATTTAAAAAATATATAACTCTCTATTTTATGTGCGTTAGTTTATTCATTTGATGATATTAAATTTTTTTATTTTTATTTAATACTTAATTTGGAAATAACTGAAGTAGGCTTGAAGATGTATTGGTTGGTAATATTTCTCCAGTTGATGATTTTATAGTTACATGTACTGTTTGTGTGTGTTGACGTAGATTTTCGGCATCTGTTGTACTGAAACCACATTCTTCACATACATATAACTTATCTCTACGTTCTTTGAATGCATATTGTAATGGACGACCATGAACTTTACGACCATGTGCTTCTAATGAGCATCGTTGGGTAAATGCTTTTGAACAATCTGAACATCTGTAAGGTCGTACACCTAAAGTGAAAGATTTGTAAATGAAAACAAGAGAAAGTCAATCATACTACTGAAGGTAATGTATAGATTGCGTATAAGTCAAATTGCTCCTTTTAATGAAATCAGTGAAATCAGGGTCTTTTATATAAACATGCGGAAAATAACATCAAATAAACGATCCTATTCTAACCAAATAATCTTCATAAACCATAAAACTATAAAGTGGTTTACTAGTCTACAAAGCTTTTGAAAAAGCACTGTGGTACATATTGACAGTACCATTGAGTAAGTAGTTTTCCAGACATCTGAATATCGTAATTAAATGACCTCCGATGAAAGTTATATAATCATAGTCAAACTTACTATTTTAGAATAAGAAAGAATACATTTGAAGTTATATCTATGAGGGTGAAATCCATTACAGACGAATTAATTCTAGTTTGTTACAGATATTTTTGTGAACATTCTGTACAGCAAACTGATATCAGATGAAGAACTCTTGACACCAAAAAATCACTGGATAAAGTTTTTTATCTGAGCCTCAACATTTAAACCAAAGCTTTCGGTTGTATTCAGTACTAACTAATTAAAACTAACCACTGATTTCCTTCTGTTATAGAAACTATGTTTAGCTTAAACAGTTTTTCACAAATACAAAATCAATTTTAAATTTACTTGATACTATGGAATACATTCACTTTTCTAATATATACCTAACATTACTGAGTTATCGAAAAGATGTTTGCTGGGATATTATTTAACACTTTTGTTACATGTACCCACAACTATCACCAAAAAGGTACAAGTGATTATAAACAATTGTCTACGTAAAATACTGAATGTTCATTGGCCGGATACTATCAGCAACAGCTTACTCTGGGAGAGAACAAACCAGCTTCCAGCTAGGGACGAAATTAGGAAATATGTAAGACACACATTGAGGAAGTCATTAAACTGCATCACGAGGCAAGCCCTAACTTGGAATGCTGAAAGAAAACGGGAAAGAAGAAGGCCAAAGAACACACTGCGCCGAGAATTGAGAGCAGACATGAAAAAGGATGAATAGCAACTGGAAAGAACTGGAAAGGATTTCCCTAGACAGATTTGGATGGAGAATGCTGATGAGTAGCCTATGCTTCTCCATGAGCGGTAACAGGCACAAGTAAGTAAGCAAGTTGTTACATGTACTGGGTTGAAGCTTACTACATCAATGCAGTTCATCGCTTGAAAGTGATAGGTATTTTTCAGGCTAAATATTTATCAACCCAAAAATATCTTTAGAAAACCAGTATTATGTTTTTTATATAGGAATCTGTATGAAAAGTATCACTGAACCTGGTTAGTAGTTTATTTCCTGTAACATTAAATTCTACTAATTTTTACCTTAAATTAATCAGTGTTATGGGGTATTTTTACTTAGCATCAAAGTGTAACCGTCATTATCGTCGACGTTATGGGTTTTTATTAGGATAGAATATTGTAATTACTTGGAAGTTTAAAATAAAAGCTTGTTATCAAATTCTCAATATGAATCTGAAAGTTTCAAATCTATTTTACCATATACCAGTTATGTATCAACAAATTGTTTATCAGTCATTTGTTTTCTACATGAAATGAATCAAAAAATATCTCTGAACACACCTACCAACCAGTTGTATGGTATACGTCTTTAAAAAGTGAATTTGTTTTTTGTAGTTTAGAATAAATACAGTAATCACTGACATTTATAGGCGAGTTACGTAAAACGCTCAAAAATCTTAACGTATATAATTTTAAATACAGAGTACTAAGGAGAGGAATCATGTTTGTAAAAGTTTAGTAATTTTATTAAACAAATGTAATCTTTTTTATTAAAAAGAATGTGAAAATAAAATCTCATTTGTATCTACATTAAGCATTGACGCTGCTACAATTTAAGTGTTGAAATTAATCAGATCAGTGGCAGTATTACGGTAAGAAAGTAGATATTAAATTCTGTGTAGTGAAAATAGTTTCCGCTTATCTATTAACTTATGTATTTAAGTGAACAAAATCTGATACAACAAGGCACTAAGAAATAGAATGAGACATATAAAGTATGGATAACACTGTGAGGAAAAGAGAGGACGTTTAAAGAGAAGGTAGTAAAAATAAAAATAATAATACTAAATAAATTGACAAAGTAATTAACAGAAACAATATGTGACAGGAAGAACAGCTCCACTGGCAATACAAACGGGACAATTCAGGATTCTTTTAGTTAAAGAAGTTCCTCCCATATTTATGACCAATGCAAAAGAAAATTACACCAGGATAGTTATTTGATTTCTATTCTGAGCTGTCACTGATCCACTGAGTTGTACCATCTCTAGGACCCCCGACTGTCCGACCATTCGAAGGCAACCCTGATATCAAGAAACACAATGATTGTTAGTCTACAATAAGTATGGGTATGCTATAGGATTTAGTGAGAAAGGTGATGATGTACTTGAAAACAGGCCTTCTATTTAAGAGTCCGTTTTTCATGTATTTAAGGCAATCTACATGTACGACGGAGGGCATCAGTTTGGATGAAATCGGAAGTAGATTTATCCACCAATAGTTGTCTTATTGATTACGAATATCCTCGCTAAAGATGGAGGCGACGACCAGCACATTTCAAGCTGTTGGAATGAACTCTGCTTCCAAACAACACAGCTGGTTCCTTGACCATAATGTTCGCCCCATCCTCAAGAAGAAATAAGGCTAAGTCTTTAGCCCTGGAGATTTTGGGCATTTCAGAAATTGCAGTTTATTTAGATTCAACCGCCACCAGACAATAAATTAACCACAGTCTAATCCAATTTACTGGAGTAACTGACAAGCTGAACTGTTCCTCGAAAAACTCTGTTGATCATCCAAAACACCTCTGAATGGCACCAATTGGGTTTCTATTCGCTTCGCAGAATTTTTCACTCACACCAGGCCTCTTGTTGCCAGTGGATCGGATGAGGTGAAATAACCTCTCGAAATTGCCAAACGAAGCTTCTATTTTTAACCATATAGCTCACTTCAACCACCAGATTTCTCAGTACTTACTCAAACTGAGAAACTCCCTCGTGTTAGAATCTACGTTTATTATCAAACTTATGATTAACAGGAGTAGGTCGACATTTCACAAGGATTCATAAGAAGCCTGAAGAAACTAAATGCTTATAAGCGGAAAGTCCCGCGAAACTCCATGTGAATTTATGGAGTCTATCATATGCGACCAACATTCGCCTCCTAATTCCAGGGGGCTGACTTCTAGCGTTGAGCCTAACTTGGTTTCATATTCGGTTGTAAATGAAACTACAGCTAGTGTTCTTATATTACTTGGTTAAGGACGAGACTTTTCTCAATTACCAACATCTAAGATAAACTTAGGGGAAACCAAACAATAATCAGAGTCCAGACAGATACTCAGAAAGAGGATGTCATAAACACAACAATGGTAGTGGTAGCTGGTCGCGACGTGATTAATCTGAGTCCAGACTTAAGTTGTAGAGGATAGATGCCAAGTGGCAGATCGGTAACGACTGTCTCGGAAGTTGGTGCTAAGGTCCTGAGATCGTCTAGACAAAGCGGGACTTCTACTATAAGTGAGCTACTGAGTGAGTTCAAAAATAAAACTGAAATGGGAGTAAAAGGGAATAGATAAGTGACTTAGCGTTGAATAAAAGCGAATGTAACAAAATGAATGTGATCATCGACTGTATGAATAGCTAAGTGGAGCGAGGACAATTTCTTTTCACCACAAATTATCATTTTGTTTCTGTGTAGGCTAGGGTAATTCCCGGACACCCAGACAGAGGTGATTTTCTTAGGGAACTACTCCTGGTACTCGAAATCAAAGGGTCCAATTCACAAGGCAATGAAACAACATCAGAAGATGCAATCCAATGTCCAAAATATATTTATTCACCACTCATTCCTGTAGGATCCAGGCTCTCATGTTTACCATTGGTTTCATAACTAGGGCGCTAGTACTACTTATCATATGCCGTAAAATGATATTGAAGTTGTCCATAAAGATAGTCAAAATCTTTGAAATGAAACTATTTGGTTCAGAGGACGTGAAACTAATATAAGTATCTATCTAATCTGCAATTTTTTTCCATTATTTCAGAATTAGCTATTCCTCAATCTTATACACCTGATTTATTAAAAGTAATGTTCCTATTTTTCTCAGATGCTTAGGAGTACAATAACAGACCATTTTGATCATTATGTATCATCAGTAATTTATCACCAGTGATATTAATTGACATTCATTATGATTTAAACGAAGTTCAAAATTCTAAATTATTGTTTCACTGTTTACAGAGTGATCAGGCATATTCTCATTACAAGAACTAAGTGTTCTAGGCTCAATCTTCCCTGGCTTCCAAAAGCGCTGTAAATTATACTTATTCCTATTGAAAACTATCTTCAAATCAATTGAATCGTCACACTTGTTCAAATGAATTTTTAATGACATTAAAGTAATAGGAAAAATTTATTCACAGGGTTCATTATTACCTTTTCTGGGTTTTTTTAACACATATGTCTAAAATATTCCATCTTATTTTTTGGCAATATATTCAACATACTATGTAAAATGTAACTTTAAACATTTCAAATGCATAAATTGGAGAGGTACATGCTTTTTGGGTTGATGAATTAACAAATATACATTTTATATAATCTTGATTAATATAATTTGCACGTGATGCTATGACTATGATACTATTTTAGCCTTGAATAGTATTAAATATACAACAAATATAATCATTGTACTTCTGTTCAGAATGAACCATTTGACATGAGTGAATGATTTGGTCCAAATCCATTGACCATCTGTCATAGTTTACTAAGATACCGAAAAAATCTACCTAGTTTATTGTGAGTAATCATGAAAAACTATCAACATGAGATAGTACAGTTTTTACCAAGGTAAATTAATGGCCAAATTAGATTTGATAGGACAACATAATATTTCATTTAAATTTGGCTAACTTCAAGGTCGTGTACTTTTAAACAGTGTTTCACTACTGTAACATAAATTTCGCATACTGTTTGTTCGTATTTACTCAAACAAGCAAAAATACGAAATATATTGACCATTAGTAAGATCTATGTTAAGAAAAACAAATCTACAGTTCCTTCTTACACGTTGTAAGATGGATGTGAATGTGCGTGTCAGACTGCTAAAAATAATTTTATCTATTTAAATCATAGAAAAAAGAGAGTGGTAATTTAAATGTATACTCATATACACTAATCATTGTCAAGCATTATTGACCACGCTAAAAAAATCTACGTTACACACAGAAATAATATTTAGATTTGTAGAGTTTTTTTTCCGTTGACTAAGTAAGTTGATTTACTTTGGGAGATAAATTGAGTTGTTACGTACACAGTGTCTAAGACAATTTGGAAAAAGTACACAAAGTATATGGTGTATAAACTATGGTTTTGAGAGTAATTTTCATCAGGAAATAACTCCAAGTAATAAATCATTGAAAACAAAAGAGAATTGGACAGCTGTCTTGTCGTAATGTGATACTGCTTACCAACGGATACTCACAAACCCACTCATAATCGTGTCTAGAATGTTTGGGCCACCCACCGAGCAAGGTACAATTCAGATGTAATCTACTAATCTACTGTTTACACGTGTAACCACTTCAAGATGAAGCACGTTTATTACGCGTTACGTCAGATTGTAATCTCAATTCAGAATTCGATGATTTCACAGATCACGGATTCAAATTATAAATTCTGAAAATTTATCTTGAAACTAGTCACCAGTTGTCTCATGGTCATTATTAATCTAGGCGGTGTCGTGGAAATCTAAGTCTATTTAGCCAGTGATTTTCACCGAGTGGGCTTGCATTGGTGTGAGATCTCAAAGTGGAATGCGGTTGTTGTATAGTGGCTCCATAGATTTTCATTGGTTCTACAGTTGGCATCAGTCTCCAATCAAAATTACCTCCTGAATGCTCCAACTGTTTGTAAAACCGCTTCATTGAATAATAACATACGATCATCAAGTGCGACGTAAACTTGACTCTGAATGGAAATACAAGAAAAAAGGCATCCAACATATTGTACCATTGAGACATTTCGTCTAAAGATAAAAGTACGATAAATCAACGAAAGTTTGCAATAAACAGTTTGAGTCCTATCACAACCTAGAATATCAATTATAATCCCGGATTATAAAAGCCATTCTACCAGACATTTTTTAACTCAGTCTGCATAGGTGATATTTAAACTGCTTATCCTCTGCAAGCTTTTCAATATTTTTTTCATAAACCAGGAATTATTGAAAATAATTATGCTGGACTGTCTTACTTGGGTTAAGCGGTTTTATACACATGCATGAACAAAATTAAATTCAAACCATTCAGAAACGAGAGTTAGGTATAGATATGACGATCGGACGAACTGTTTCGATATTAAAATTTAAACTCAAGTTTACGTTATCATTAATTTTTTTTCCAAATGTTCTAAAGCTTTAATAACATTCAGATTCCTAGATGTCTATAGAAGTCCATAGGTGACTATCTTAAATCATAAGTAGAACACATTACACTTTTACTTCTACTTATGACTTTTTCTAGACCTAGTCATTGAATCACTAAACAGTTGGTTTATTGATATTTAAGGAAAAAACATGTCATCACTATACACTCCCTCATATTGTCAAGTAGATTGTCACTGGTTTTTACCTATGTTACCTAGTGAAAAACCTTAGATATGTAAAACAAATTATTTGAAATTGTAAATTATTAAACATACCTGTATGTGTTCTGGTATGACGTTTTAAGTCGAATGTATCATTGAATCCTTTGAAACAAAACTTGCATAAATATCTGTGTAACTGACTATGACATTTAATATGTCGTGTTAAAAGACGCAATAATTGGAAACGTTTACCACATGCTTTGCAAACATATTCATTTGGACCTACTTGAGAAGCTAAGGAAAACAAGAAAAATAAAAACGAAAGAAAAGAAGTATTGATTAACTTAAAGATGATAACTATAACAACATTTGTTCTGAAAATAAGGTGCTATTCAAGAGTGTAAATATGATAGTTTTGACTTTATAGTTAACTACTATTACCTATTGTTGATTACTTGAAAAACACCATTTTAACAATTACAGACCACCATTTTATAAGCCTTCGTTATTCGAGTTTATCTGATGGTTTTAAAAATACAACTTAAAATCAACAGCGGTGATACAGATAAGTATTTTACATCCAATACTGACACGTTGCCATGAATCCAAACTGAAGTCAGTGGAACATTCGTGTCTACTGATATCTACCCTTAGAAATTGGAGCATTTATTACAAATTTTCACTCTCATGGCGTATGTATTTTTTTAATAAAGAGCATTTAATACTTGCTGTTAATATCCCACTGTATTGATCTATAAGACCGAAAGAGATGAAACTTGTTTTGAATTATTTCTTTTACACCTTAAAAGGCGTATAACGTTAATCATTATTGGTTTGATATGAAAATGCTCAATCTATCAAAACAGTACTAGACATAATTAGATTATGATATGCGATCAAAGTTATTTTGTAGCTAATTATGTCTTCAGAAATACTTGTACACCATTAAATGTATTACATTTACATGATTAAACTATCATTATGCAAGAAACAATTATATTTTCACTGGTATGTAGTTAGGACGAAACGGCCGTCCAGTGCTTCCAGATTTTCGATGGTGGTGTAGCTTCAATCGACTCATGATTTCAACTGTGAAAATACTAAATTCTCCACAAAACCCCCTATGATCTATTAGGTAATCGACAAACTTTTAAAAACCAGCTGCTATCAAAGATCTTAAAATTGCTGAAATATGAGGCTTTTTAAATAACACTTCAATCAACTTTCAATGAAATCAATTGCCTAACTTGATAAGATGGATTGCAGAGATACTGCAAAAAAAGTTCATTTTTTTATAAAAGTAATTTCCAAGTCAAATCTCACTTCAAAACTTATATTACTTTGACTACATATTTTTGAAATGCTATACGACGAATTATTTTTTTATTACAATGAACCGGCAACATCGTGAATGAGAAAATACTCATAATTTTTATCCCGTAATTTAACATTATACACCCCAAAACTACTTTTCATCTTGAAAAGTTATACTAACTAACAATGAAACTGTGTCACTTTTTATAGTATTTTAGTTTAGAAGGGGTAAACAAAGGAAAATGTGAAACTTCGGTAGGGATTTCATGGCCGATTTAGTTTATTTAGCTTGAATGAATATTTGTTAGAAAGCTGGTTTTTGTTATGACCATTTTTAATCTAACTCCATACCCTCTTGAATTATTAATGATTATTATATCTACTTTTTGGTTCATCATAATATATCTAATTTACGTTCCTTTTGAAATATATAAGCTTTGCTATTATTGTTGTCTTTTACCTTGAGTGTATGATCATGTGAATTATGAATCAGAATAATCAAAAGTACTTGTAACTGTTTATCTGGACTTTTGCCGCTCTGATTAAAGATTTGGAAAAGTGAGAATTGTTATTTGCAATTGTTCGTTCAAAACCTACCTACAAATCAGGTATGGCACAAATGATAATCATATTGATGACTGTCTTTGTAGTTAATATAAAAAACAGGGCATACCGTTCCAGTACTCATTTTATTGGATGTGATTTAATGTTAATAAAAATTGAATTAATTCCTTCATTTCAACAAGTTACCAACAATATAGAATATTAACATTCTTCTGAACAGAATTGAAACTGTGAATGTCAATCTATCACGTAATCAAACAGTTTTTGTTTATTTATTAAAATTTAAAACCTAATCTATCTTAAGGTGGTGGTTAGGGATAGTCAACAGGAAACTCTGAACCTAGGTTTCGTGCTACTTAGCACTCGTCAGCAAGTTGTACCCGTAATCTTAAGGGGACTGATTTTTCCTGACAAATTCCATCCGGTGTCACCCAGCTTCACAGTCAGAGACGTTACCACTGGGATAACCGGGCCGCGGCTGACCTCCTGTAGGACTGAGATGTACTTACAATTGATTGACCACTGGGTGCCGATCAATGTCATGTGCACTAAGAAGAGTCTGCCACATGACATGGATCTGATCCACCTTCATTAACTTTGTAACGATAAAATGAATCTTCAGTTTTTCTATTTGACCACAATTAATAAATATTGTTAAATAAGTAACATTATTTTTGTTATGTAAATTAATCTATAGAAAGTAGTTTGTTCCATCATGTAAATATGTTCTTTCCATAGATATACTTATATAAAAATTAAATTGCGATTTTATTTATTGTAAACAGAAAATAATTTTGATTGATTAATTTGTATACGCTGAAAACAAATGAAAACTTGATTAACAATACACCAAGTAATTCATCAGAATAGGTTTCTGAAAGTGGATATTAATAGGAACACATCAAATTTATTAGGTGACAAATTGTTTTGAACAGAGCTAAATCAAAGTCAATACAAATAATGTAAAAATATGAACTGATATACAAGAAGGTAACTATTCAAAGTGAACTTTATTAACCAAATGTCCCAAATGCCCTGGTACGGCTGAGAGTGGGGAGATTTTGCTCTCCTTCTCGAAATGTTCTTATATGGCCACGCGTATATAGCCTCTGCCAGGAAAGTTCTACTCACTGCCTTCTCCAGGAGGGGGTGTTGTTTGCAAAATTGAGAGGACAAAAAGTGAACGTTTGGCGCTTTAACCAGGTTGGTGGACACAGAAAGTCCGCCTAGGGGAGTTGGAAAACCCTGATTACAAACCAATAGTGCACATGGGCTCCAGTATCTTGAGGAAACAAATGGCGTATGAACCGATTGTTGATCACCGCCTACCATAGGACTGCATCTCCTACGATGCCCCACTGCCTTGTGGATCAGATCTTTAGGTCAATGGCTCTGGGTGTGGCGCCCTAAGAAAACCACCTGCTTCGATTTGGGCACCTGGGTAGTATCTCAGCCTTCACACAAATCAAATGAGATTTGTGTGGTGCATATCTATCTGGTGCTCCTTTGTACCAATGTTTATGTGTTTAAATAAATAAATAGATTTTTTTAATTTAAAGCTTTCTAGCACCTTAAATTTTACAAAGTTGAATATACAAATTAAATTTGACAATTGCATAAGATTCCAGAACGTTCATATTAGTTGTTTCTGCTAGTGATTATCTGAATGTTATTTTTACATTTTTGTTAATATAAATACTGAATATGAATTCAAAGATATCTATGTTATTTCTTGACTTTCTGGTAGATGGGTAAGAAATAACCGGTCTTTATGTAAGTATTGTTCTGTCAAATATCTAAAAATATGAGCTGGATCAAATAGGCTGTTTGACATTTTAAGCATAACGTGTCATGATGTATGTTTTATGAATAAGCAGTTTAGTGTTGATTAGTAAGAAACATAACTGTCAAAAACACTTAAATTTAACCTGCTTTAAGAAAAATACTCCAAAATATCAGGAAGTATGCAAAAAGAATACTCTTAAGAAGGAATTAGAAAACCTTCAAAAAATTCCCATGAAGATCCAAACAAAATTCACAGATCGAAATCTAACAATTTGGATATTTATGGGACGTATCTGGCTAGCAGCAAAGTAAATTTTGCCAGACCTATGATTCATTTGTACCACCTAACCAGACCTTGTCCGAAAAATTGCCGTTATTTCAAAATAGAACCTCCTTTCATCGTATTAGCTAAATGACATTCTCTCACCGTGTAAAAGACAAGATCATAAATTAATTTACAATTATGGGCAATTATTAGTTTACTTCCTTTCACTGAGATAAATAAATCGATAGTGCATCCTTTCATTTCACAACACGTTCATTGATAGTACAGATAAATAATTAACATTCTTTTTAGCTTTAGAATTCATTGTTAGTGAATAGAAGCTTACACATTTTTCAGTTGAAACCTATCATCTATGTAAACCATACAGCAATTTATCGTCTTGTTAAAGATCAAACCAACCAATGATATATTTCAGATTTTTAGTAATTGGAGAAAACTGATAAATTAAAACAGAAACACTTAGCGTATAATCACATCTGATTTAAATTTGAATTTCGAAACCAAGGTCAGTATATCTTATCCTTGAGAAAAAGATGATATCATGTTCAGTAAATTTTTTATTACACAAAATTGTCGGTAAATCATTTGGAAGTAATTGAAACTTTGTTTCCCTTCAACGTTTCTTTTCAAACAAGAGGACATTGACCAATTAAAAAAAATTCTTCAAAAGTGTTTCGTATATTCAACAGAATAAATAATTAGCAATGACCTCATATTAGTAAACCACTAATGAAAGGATAAGAGATTTGTTCTAGTCACTACAAAAATCAAAAGTTTTCTTATTAATAAATGAAATTGTTTAGCAAGAAACTACTTTTTACCGATATCTATATAATTCATAGTTATTTTAAATCTAAAACTAGAGAATTAAAAAACACGATTTTTATCGCGGAACCCTCAGTGGTGTAAAGCCACCACTGTACACTAGGCTAAACGTAGAAGCCTTAAGATGCAAAAGCAAGATGCTGCTAGCTAGTTACTACTTCGAAGTTCAAATGTCTACATTTATATATTCAGTCACTTGGCAATATATAACATTGTGATCAATCTAAGAATAGGAGCCATATTTTATTTTCAACACTTATTGTTGTTTCCAAATACATTCAATGAAGTGTAGAGATAACGATAAATCAACACTTCTGGCCCTATGGTAGATAATTGTGGGACACTGAATCACTCAGTAGAGTAATCAATGTTTACTAACACTTCAGCTTATGTAGCTAGATTTCAACTGGGATCATGAAACTAATGCAATTGTACAGGGGAATACAATATCTGATTGTTATGAAGATACCGAAAAAATGCATTTATATATTTATCATTGTTGAAAGCGTGAGTCAATTGA